TTTTAATTCGTGTTTAGCACGCGAGCATACTTAAGGTTAGGGTAACAAAACATTCTTGCTAAACATTTTTATAACATGTCAACTCTCATTTGAGTGTCCTACCCATTTAATACCATAGCAACCATATTTAACTTTAACAGTTTGTTTTCTTTTTTAATTTCGATAAGTCTTTCTTAATCACGAAAAACCACATAGAAGAAAACTCAGTTTTAAAAAAAAACATGAACAACTAAATAAATAAAAAATACGTAACTACTTAAGCTTTAGTAACATAGTAAAGTGAATGTTTGTAATCTTTTGTCGAACGATATAAGTGATTAGTTCATTCAATCATGCTAGTAAGTAGTAGTAAAGTTTCCTTTCAAACCTTACGGTCTATAGGGCAAATGAAGTAGAGTTCAGTTGTTTCTGTGAAAAATTAGAGACGATCTACTGACTTGAACCAGGATTCGAACACGAGACTTACGAGCTAACAGCCCAGCTGTCTAACCCTAGACCACTCCGTCACCAAATATGCTAAGGGTCTGTCTAAAACATTTGTATTGCAATGTGTCGGACTTGGTGAAAATAAAGTTAAAAAAAACAACAACACCAAAGACATATATTTTAAAAAATGTTAAAATACACCTACACACACTAAACGCAAAAAACAGCAGATATATATATATATATATATATATATATATATATATATATATATATATATATATATATATATATATATATATATATTTATTTATTTATTTATTTATTTATATATTTTGAAGGTAAATTTTGAAGGTAAATACACTGTTTCTTGCTTTGCATTATCCTATTTAATGTTATAAAAAATATTTGTAATGTAATAATATTTGTAATGTATAAATACACTTTTCTTATTTTAAAAAGTGTAACAAAAAAAAATGGGAGATGAAACGGATTAATAGCATTTCAATTAATTTCAATGGAGAAAATCGCCTTGAGTTTCGAGCAATATGGATACGAGCAATGCTACGGAACGAAGTATACTCTAGCTACCACTGTAATCGAAATAAATTATGTTTTCCCCAACTATTTACAAGTAGTAAACGGCTTTGTTAAATGGTTAAATTTTCTGTACAAAAAATGTTAAAACGATTTAGCTATAAAAACCTAAAAAAAAAAATGGAGAAATTACTTTCAAACGTTCCCCGCCAGAGAGTTTTATAAAGAAAATATATACTTTTACCAGCGTCCGTCCCCAGCAAAATTGTGTGCCCCCCCCCTTCCCCCCCCCCCCCCCCCCCCCCCCCCCCCCCCGCTTCTCCCCGTTGTTGAAAAGGTTGGTGGCGCTTTTTACCACTCACTATCCCGTAACGGTTTTCATTATGTCGCCACATACTTGATGTAGAAAACGGTTTAAATCAGTGTGGAAAGCCTTGTAGCCGTTTATTTTCTGAACTTCGACGGTTTATAAGACGCTAGTTTAAAAATAAGCTTTTTAAATTTGTTACTACCCGTTATGGCGTCCCTTTAGGGTTGGCGCCCGATGGGGCACCACACCCGCCCTTCCCTAGCTGCGTCTCTACAGCCATGTGTGTTAAATTTAAAGAGACGAAAATAAACAACCACAGGACTAGAACAAAATGGTATGCCAATAGGAGAGGTGGTCTTTCCCTGGCGACGTTCACTACTAGCTAAATATATCTGGTATAACATTATATATAATTATAAATGTAAATTAAATTATATCACGTGCAAACGGAGTGTGGCTTGTTGGAGGATACACGGGTTCAATGACACGTGACTGGTCAATAGGAAGTCAGGACTGTCCCACATTAAAGGAGTGTGGGATTGGGGGGACGCGGCGGAGGATACACGGGTTCAATGACACGTGATTGGTCAATAGGAAGTCAGGACCTGTCCCACATTAAAGGAGCGTGGGATTGGGGGGACGCGGCGGAGGATACACGGGTTCAATGACACGTGATTGGTCAATAGGAAGTCAGGACCTGTCCCACATTAAAGGAGTGTGGGATTGGGGGGACGCGGCGGAGGATACACGGGTTCAATGACACGTGATTGGTCAATAGGAAGTCAGGACCTGTCCCACATTAAAGGAGTGTGGGATTGGGGGGACGCGGCGGAGGATACACGGGTTCAATGACACGTGATTGGTCAATAGGAAGTCAGGACCTGTACCATATTAAAGGAGTGTGGGATTGGGGGGACGCGGCGGAGGATACACGGGTTCAATGACACGTGTCTGTTCAATATGAGGCTATTTGAGGGGACGGCGTGGTCTAATGATGGTCACATGCAATGTTTCTTCCAGACCTTTTTCTCCGGGGGGGGGGGGGGGGGGGAAGGGTGGGAGCACTTGAAATATTCGGGGGAGGGGAGCGGTAGACTTTCTTCGGGAGGGCGGACACTGTTAAAAGCAGTAGCGTAGCGAGGGGGGGGGGGGCGGGGGGGGTATATGTCCCCGGGCGCCGACCTTAGGGGGGGGGGGGCGCCAAATTAAAAGTTTTGAGGGGGGGGGGTGCAAATGAAAAGCTCGAGGGGGGGGAGTGCAAATCGAAAGTTGTTTGAGGGGAGGGGGGTGCAAATCGAAAATTTGCTCCCAATGGGGCGCCAAATTGAAAGTATGTCCCCCGGGCGCCGGGAAGGGTCGCTACGCCTCTGGTTAAAAGTATATATTATCTATATATATAAATATATAAATTTCATTTCGTTCGGGGGGGGGGGGGGGGGGGGGAAGGGCGGTAAAAATTTTTCGGGGGCCGAAGAGATGCCTGGAAGAAACTCTGGTCACATGTTATTTATTGAAGGTTTTTTAATGCTCTAATAACTAATATAAAACCTAGGAAATTATTCATTTCAATCTAGTAGTGTAAAGCTGAAATGGGACATCGTTGTCTAATAATGATCACATTTGGTTTATAGAAAACGTTGTTATAAAATTCTCTATAAATTGAATATAAAACCTAGTGAATTATTCTTTTCAATCTAGTAGTGTGAAGCTGAAATAGGACTGCGTAGTGAAATGGTAAGAGCTAACGACTGCTAATCCGAAATTCTCCGGAGTATCGACTCGAGTCTGTATGACGTCCCAGAGTCCACCCAGCTCCTATGGGTACCTGACTCACGTCAGGGAAAACTAAGGCGGTCAGAAATAGTGCTGACCACGCTATCCCTCGATGTCATTAAAACAGATGAACTCTACTTCACCCGCCCGGTATGTCTTCTGTCGACGAACGGAAAAAGATGAATATGAAGCTGTTTGGAATACAATAATAGACGTGGCCTAAAACGTCACCACTTTAAGTTACAGCCTTGATCAAGTGGACGTTGACAGCAGTGTTTCTTCCAGACTTTTTTCTCCGGAGGGGCACATGAAATTTTCGTGGGGCGGTAGACTTTCTTCGGGGGGGGGGGGGGGGCGGACACTGTTAAAAGTATATATTTTCTATATAAATTATATAAATTTCATTTCGTTCGGGGGGGGGGGCGGTAAAAAAAATTCGGGGGGGGGGGGGGGGGGGGGGGCTTCACCCCCACTGGAAGAAACTCTGGTTGACAGGTTGTGGATACGAGTTTTTAAAAACTTTAATGGGCTTGTGAGGCAGGGGAGGGGGGGGGGGGTGTGCACTGTCCAGTGTTTCTTCCAGACTTTTTTCTCCGGGGGGGGGGGGGGGGCACTTGAAATTTTCGGGGGGGGCGGAAGACTTTCTTCGGGGGGGCGGACACTGTTAAAAGTATATATTTTCTATATAAATTATATAAATTTCATTTCGTTCGGGGGGGCGGTAAAAAATTTTCGGGGGGGGGGGGGGGGGGGGGGCTAAGCCCCCCCGAAGAGATGCCTGGAAGAAACTCTGGCACTGTCTGAAACAAACTTAATTTATTGATTTAAACTGAACGAGCCGGCCCGCGGCATAACATACGCCGCTATTTAGTTGTTTCTAATTTTCAATAATTCATAATTTGTGAATTCGACAGTACCAACGCTGACACTGAAAATATTTCTTTAAAACACTATAAGTAGCTCGTTAAGGACCATACCCCCCCCTTTCTTCCCTCCCCCCCCCCCCTCCTCCCCCCCCCCCTACGTTTAAAATCGTTGGCTCTGCTTGTAAACATTTAGAGTGAACACAGCTCACTAAAACCATGTAGGGGTGGGGAGGTAGGGAGAGCGTTTGCAGCTTGTTTTCTAACGGCTCGAAGAAGAGAATTATATATATAGATTGTCCTGTGTGCTTCACGCATATCAACGGGTGGTTGTACGTGTTCATTGCTGGTGGCCAGATTTTTCCAGCACTACTAGCCATGCCAGGTATTAGACTTCATGATTGAGGCAAAAATTTTGCAGCACTACTAGCCATGCCAGGTGTTAGATTGCCTGATTGTGGCCAGATTTTTCCAGCACTGCTAGCCATGCCAGGTATTAGATTGCCTGATTCAATATTTAACCAAGATATCCAAGTTGCCAGGCACGTTTTTTTTTTGTTGAGTGGAAGTAAAGGTTATAGAAGAAAGGCTTGTCTTTTTTTATAGAGGGTAAAAACTTTGGAGAGTTATTTCCCTTAAGAGTTCTCTAACTTCATAGGGGAGAATTAAAGCTGGTATTTAAATGAATCTTTTTCAGGTCAAGTTGGACGATTGGAAACTACTTACGTTCATTACTTCTTCCATTATTTCTCATAAATTTAAAAAAATTACAAATAAATTAAATTTTACATATTTAATAAATAATTTTAGTCACCCCCTTTAATTTTCTTATATGCTGTTAGAGTCATCAGTATTATTTACAAACCCAGAATTTGAACAAGGTACTTTAAAAAGCTGGATGAGCTCAAATATATTATACAGACTTGACCTGAAGTCTAAAAAAATTGTGTGTTCCACTGACAGCCAACCTGACATCCTAAATCAGGTAATTTATAGAATCAATCACATACAATTTAAACAAAACAAGTGACTGTTATAAATTAGAATAAATCACATACAATTAAAACAAAACAAGAGACTTTGTTACAAACTTTACACTAGTATTTATTTCAACGGACATCCTAAGGTGGCTCTTTGTTGATCTGGCCGTTAGAGACTAGAAAGTCGTAGAGCTTCCTGGTTTTGTTGACATCAATCTTGATGAGAGTTCTAGCCTGGGCTAGTCGCAGGAATCCACTCTTTGCACACTCAGATATTAGAAGTTTGGAGAACTCCAGGTACGCATCAGGGACCAAACGAGCTTCTGAACAGAGCTGTAGATTCGTGGAAAAATGGTTTAGCTAAACAGTCAAATATCTTGCAAGAAAGTAAAAAATTCTATATTTAATATATGTTCTCAACAAGGTTTGGTGCCAGCGAAGTGATCAAAATTATGCATTCAAAACAAAATTTAAAAAAAAGACTGAGTTTATCAAGCAACCCAAATATTTCTGTTTGGTGTAAAATAAACAAACATAAACAAGACTGCTACAAGAGTTAAAATACTGAGTCCACCCAGCTGTGAAGGGTGCCTGACAAAGCCAAGAGGGGGGTAGTAGTAATGATCACAATATATTCCGTTCATAAAGTGAGAATCAGAAAACCATAAACAGACGGAGTGGCCTAGCTGTAGAGAGTTGGACTGATAATCTGTAAATCTCAAGTTCGAATCCGTGTTCAAGATAGTAGACAGTCCCTGAGTCCACCCTACTCTGATGGGTAAGTAAAGGCAGCTGGGCGTAGTGCTGACCACACTATCCCTTCATATGCCAAGAGGTCACACAAAAAGGTGAACTCTACTTCACTTGCCCCATAGACCGTCAGGCTTGAAAGGGAACTTACTTATTGAACAGATGATTACTAATTCTCCTATCTCGCTAACCTTCAGGTCTAAAAGTAAACTTTACTTTAAAAAGCAAGAAACAGATGATTAAATTTTTTTCTTTTTACCCTCAGGTAAAAGTATACTTTACTTTAAAAAACAAGAAACAGATGGTTACTTGTTTTTCTATCATATTAACCTTCAGGTCTAAAAGTATACAATCAAAACAGGAGCTGTATACCTCTTTCTCTGCCTCGTTAAGTTTGTCATACCCAGGTAAGCCATCAATCTGAAGACGCTGGGCAGTTCTTTTGTTTAAAGGTGGAATGGCCATGTTCAGACCTTTGTTGGATCCTTCTTTGGCCGCTTGCTTGGCCAGCCAGTTTTGGAAAAACATTTCGTCCTGGAATAAATAAAGGTACATCTACAAGCATCAACACAGATTTATTAATTCAGTTTCAAACTAGCCAACAAAATATTTGCATGTCAGATAAAAATCACATATTCCCTCTTGGCTGAAATTTGTTACCCAGAACAACAGATAAAAAATAGTCACTAGTCAAAATTGTATGATTTATTTAAACAGTATTAGTATAACTGTGTATTTTAAGCTATAGCAAGTGTTTTCAAACACAAATACTATCTTTTTAGTAATATTATAATTTTTTAAAGAACATGAGAAATACAAACACAAAATAACTGCTATTGTACTTAAGTAAACAATAAAGTTAAGAAAATGAAAAAACAAGTTAATAAAAAGTCTAGTGACAATTTAAGTGCAATTTCCTTAATTAATTTGTTAAAAAATGTGAAAAAATGATTAGGCCTAGCGAAACAAAACCTTGTAATTGTAACTCCCTATCACTCTCATATAAATTATAAATAAATTAATAGGGTACAAAAATAACGTTTGAATTAATAAGTAAAAAAAAAAGACAACTATATTAACCTATATCAACAGAAATAGTTTTATTTTAACGAGTAGGCCTACAAGATGCTCAGTTTAAAAAAGTAGTAAATATCATCCTAGGCCTACACGATGCTGAGTTTAAATGTTCTTAATTAATTTTTTGTGACCGAACGAAAGGATATTTTTGAAAACTTTCTTCGGCAAAATTGTTCTAAATTATGGCAGGAATCGATTGGTAAATGTTTCAAGTCGCTAAGTGGTCTGGTTGCAGAGATATGGACCAAAAACTGCATTTGTTCGAGGTTTTTTGGCTTTTCTGGGAAATCCAGGAAGGAATTCCGGGATACTTTTGGCCCACAATCATCCTTGGAACTTGCTTAACATATTTGCTTTTGGAACTAGTCCTCGATATTGCTTCGTTGAGGAGATACGACTTAAAGCTGCGGACACGCTGCGGACACACATCCATCCAGAAATGACGAGTTAATAATCGCAATTGTCCGTATGGAAATTGCGCTAAAAAGGATGTAATACATTGAGTGACAGCAATTGACCAGTTTAGATGAAAACCAAGCACATGAAATTCACACGAGTTCTAACCTTGACATGATTAAGAATGTCCGTCAAGAGATTCTTCCTTGCCCTGGTGTCTTCCCTCCTTTGTTTAAGTACATAGTATTGTTTTACAGATCGCAGCTTCGTAATCCCGTGACGCCTGTACTCCTGCAGGCGAGATATCTCTGATTTTAGCTGTTTCTCATCTACAGAGATAGAACACAACCACAGAAACAAGATTATCAACCAATTTACTTCAACATGAATATCCCTGATTTTAGCTGTTTCTCATCTACAGAGATAGAACACAACTACAGAAACAAAATTATCAACTAATTTACTTTAACATTAATATCTCTGATTTCAGCTGTTTCTCATCTACAGAGATAGAACACAACCACAGAAAGAAAATTATCATCTAATTTACTTTAACATTAATATCTCTGATTTTAGCTGTTTCTCATCTACAGAGATAGAACACAACCACAGAAACAAAATTATCAACTAATTTACTTCAACATTAATATCTCTGATTTCAGCTGTTTCTCATCTACAGAGATAGAACACAACCACAGAAAGAAAATTATCATCTAATTTACTTTAACATTAATATCTCTGATTTTAGCTGTTTCTCATCTACAGAGATAGAACACAACCACAGAAACAAAATTATCAACTAATTTACTTCAACATTAATATCTCTGATTTCAGCTGTTTCTCATCTACAGAGATAGAACACAACCACAGAAAGAAAATTATCATCTAATTTACTTTAACATTAATATCTCTGATTTTAGCTGTTGCTCATCTACAGAGATAGAACACAACTATAGAAACAAAATTATCAACTAATTTACTTTAACATTGGCTTGATGAAAATAAACATGCCGTAAGAGGATTTTTAAACATTAAAAAATTTAGGGAGTTTATTTATAAAAATTAACAGTTAAATAAAATTTCAATATAAATTTTAATTTTAGAAACAAATTTTGGATTATGGGCTCAATATGCTTAAGATAAGATTAATAATTAGGTCAATCTGGTTAGTTGATTTTTGACTTGATTTCTATGTGAAAATGTGAAAATCTAAAAAAACCATGGGCAGAATTTTTTAATGTGCTGTGGGAATATAAAAGCAGTCTGGAATACAACGCTTATCCAATGTTCAGGTGTAAAACTATCATTTAAAAAAGTTAATTAAAAAGCATTAATCGTAACATAAAGAAAAGAAAACTATTATCTTATAAGTTAAAAAACAAACAACTTACACAACAAACTTTCCAAATATTTGTCAAACTGGACACAAGGGAAAAGTTTCATGAATGGTCGAAAACAATCCAAAGCAAAGTTGAAATCATAGCGCCGTCTGAAATAGACTACAAATAAAGAAACAGTAAGTCTCCTTTTGCCCAACACTGACAAAAACTGGTAGGATTTGATGGACATTAAGTGACAGCTTAACAGGTCAAACTATTCATAACAAAAAAACTTATTGAACAAGTTGATCAGCTAGCTTATGAAACATTTTATTTTACATGTGTAAAAAATTGATTCTACTCATTTGAACAATGCTATAGAAAAAAAATACAAATATAGTAACATTTGTCTATAGAAAAAAAATCACAACAGTGGTTAAATAGTATGTGCACAATAAAAAATTACAGGCAAGTAAACCAATACTTTGCATAAGCATCAATGGTTTAAATAAGGATTATTTGCTTGTACAATTTCAAGTAGAATGTGATAAAATTTTAAGTAGGATTTGATAAAGTTTTAAGTAGAATGTGATAAAATTTTAAGTAGGATGTGATAAAATTTTAAGTAGAATGTGATAAAATTTTAAGTAGGATGTGATAAAATTTTAAGTAGGATTTGATAAAATTTTAAGTAGAATGTAAGTAGGATGTGATAAAATTTTAAGTAGGATGTGATAAAATTTTAAGTAGGATGTGATAAAATTTCAAGTAGAATGTGATAAAATTTTAAGTAGGATGTGATAAAATTTTAAGTAGAATGTGATAAAATTTTAAGTAGGATGTGATAAAATTTTAAGTAGAATGTGATAAAATTTTAAGTAGAATGTGATAAAATTTTAAGTAAGATGTGATAAAATTTTAAGTAGAATGTGATAAAATTTCAAGTAGGATGTGATAAAATTTTAAGTAGAATATGATAAAATTTTAAGTAGGATGTGATAAAATTTTAAGTACAATGTGATAAAACTTTAAGTAGGATTTGGTACAAAATTTAAAAAGTATGCCAGGCAACATATTTATTGTCAAAATAGAATAACTAGCTCATGAAAATGTGTGGCCCGATTAAGTTATTTAGAGAATACATCAAGTTTCTAACAAAGCGGTAGAGAGCTAGACTGCTAACCAGAGAGTCTCGAATTCAACTCCGAGTTTAAGTCCGTAGAACATCCCTGAGTGCACCCTAACTCACATTATGTAAACAAAAACGGCTGGGCTATCCTTCATATGCCTAGGTCTTTGAAGCAGATGAACTCTACTACATCTGCCCCATGTGTCTTGGGCCCATCTATGGCCAAATTATTATTTAAAAGAAAAAGTACGTCTCAATGTGAAGAGACATTTTACACAAGAAATATTTTATCAGCTCAATTCTGATGTTCAAATAGGAATGGCCTTTTACTTACAGGTTAATAGTACCCAAGTTCTAAAAAATGTAAGCTTATTAAAGGTTGTAAACTACTTACCATACCATTTTCTTAAGTTGATCAAGCCGTAATCTCTGATGATTCTGTGAAATAAAATAAATTACACTTTAAAATGTCAAAATTTGACTCCTTACAATATATTGAAAATCTGTAACAAAAAGTGCAATCTATTTCCTTAATCTCATGTAAATCAATATTACTGATGAGATTTAGTTAATATTTTCCTAATAATATAAAACACAATACAAAAAATAACTAAAAAGAAACGCATGCCGATTCTTAAATTTTACTAAGGTATTCAATATATAATATAGGGACCCACATTTTTCTTTTAGTTATTTGAATATTTATTTAAAGAAAATAATTAATTTCTTCTTTTTAGTGCAGAATTACATAAAAGCTTGTTAAAACAATTTTTATAAAAAAATGTTCAACATATTTAAAATTTCTATACACTAGAACAGCAGGACTAAAAAGGATTGCATATTAAATGAATGTGATGCGTGTATAGTAACCTTGAAAATTAGTTCTTCATATAGGAAACTAATTAATAATTTAAAAATTAATTTGCATCTAATTAAGTCAAATGTTTCGTAACATTGCATTTTCATCGGGTCTTGCCCTATATATAAATTTGTGAAAGAATTTCTCCTTTAGAAGTGGTTGAAATTTTGCTCGCTCGTTTGGACCCATGACAAGGACAAAAGCACCACAGATAGACAGAGGACGCAAGTTAAATAAAAGCTTGTAAAAAACAGCATCAACTTACTTTTTTCTTCTCTGTCGCTCTAATAGGCTATTTCTGTATACATCCAAAACTGCCAAGTTTAGGTCTAAATATAACAAGAGAAAATTTTCGTTATACACATTTTTAAAATGCATTATTTTTAAAAATTTGATGAACTGAATAACAATGAGGCTAGTAAAAAATCTACACAAAATTTAGGCACTATTAATTTTCTAGCAAGAAATCATACAAGTGTTAGGTGTTTAGAATAAAAAAATAACATATTTAAACACTGCAAGCTAAATGAGTACAGAGGACATAAACTGCACTATGAATAAAAGTGTAAGAAATCAAATGGACATTATAAAATAATACTCAGTATTATAAAGGTGTGACCAAACTTTAAGAGTAAAAACCAACCTTTGTAAAATATTTTATCTTCCTCTTGCATTTCTTCACCCTCCTCTTCTGCCTGCACGTCCTCATCGTCACTGAAACTGATCCGGGCTATGTCCATTTCAATATAATTATCATATTCATAATTAAAGTCACTCCTTGCAGCGGAGTATCCACCCAGCTCCACCCAGGTGGATGACCCTTCAGGAGGCCGAGGTGGGTTGTCCGACACTGTCAAGTATTTACATATAACATATGATTACTAATTTTAAGTACGCGGTTTACTGTACTTATAATTATTTATTTTTGATAAAATAAATATTTTTCTTCTTGGTGTGGTAATAGTAAAAGACTAAGAGCAACAACTGCTTGGCAGGACTGACAGTTGTATTATGAGAGTATGTTGGGCAAACTTTTGAGAAAGGTGAAATATCTATAGAATTGGGCAAAAATCTTGTGTTAACTTTTGACAAAGGTGAAATATCTATAGAATTGGGCAGAAATCTAGTGTAAACTTTTGACAAAGGTGAAATATCTATAGAATTGGGCAGAAATCTAGTGCAAACTTTTGACAAGGGTGAAATATCTATAGAATTGGGCAGAAATCTTGTGTAAACTTTTGACAAGGGTGAAATATCTATAGAATTGGGCAGAAATCTAGTGTAAACTTTTGACAAGGGTGAAATATCTATAGAATTGGGCAGAAATCTTGTGTAAACTTTTGACAAGGGTGAAATATCTATAGAATTGGGCAGAAATCTAGAGTAAACTTTTGACAAGGGTGAAATATCTATAGAATTGGGCAGAAATCTTGTGTAAACTTTTGACAAGGGTGAAATATCTATAGTGATTATAGGACAGAAATCTTATATCACTGACTACTGAGTGTATGTTATAGCATATAGCAGCTTTAAAAGGTGTTTGAGTTATTTATACTCTTCAGGATAGCGTTATTTGAAAAAAAAAAAGGCTTGCAATGCTTAAAGTTTGGAAGATAGTGGGAGGCTTAGAGTAAAAGTGTAACGTAATGTTTGAGCATTTCATCTGTGACTTAAACATCAATTAAAAAACAAGTTAAAATATAGTGTTATGGCTAGGCTAATTAGAACTGAAAGAGGCTATTAAATAATGCTAGAGCTTAAAATTAGAAATAAGAGGCCTACTTACATTTAAACGTAACAGGAGCTCCGGTGGTATAAATATCACGATCTTCAAATTCTAAAATAATATAAAGATGTACACAGTTTCATTTCTGAAATGCTTTTGTATTTAAAAAATACTTTATTAATTTAATTTTTGATACTTTAAATATTTTATCACTTGCACCATACAGACGCTTCAAATAAAAAAGTATTTTAAATTTAAAGATAATGAGAAGTAAATTAGCAGCTCTATGTTGCATAAACTGCTGTGTGAGAAGTAAATTAGCAGCTCTATGTTGCATAAACTGCTGTGTGAGAAGTAAATTAGCAGCTCTATGTTGCATAAACTGCTGTGTGAGAAGTAAATTAGCAGCTCTATGTTGTATAAACTGCTGTGTGAGAAGTAAATTAGCAGCTCTATGTTGCATAAACTGCTGTGTGAGAAGTAAATTAGCAGCTCTATGTTGCATAAACTGCTGTGTGAGAAGTAAATTAGCAGCTCTATGTTGCATAAACTGCTGTGTGAGAAGTAAATTAGCAGCTCTATGTTGTATAAACTGCTGTGTGAGAAGTAAATTAGCAGCTCTATGTTGCATAAACTGCTGTGTGAGAAGTAAATTAGCAGCTCTATGTTGCATAAACTGCTGTGTCAGAAGTAAATTAGCAGCTCTATGTTGCATAAACTGCTGTGTGAGAAGTAAATTAGCAGCTCTATGTTGCATAAACTGCTGTGTGAGAAGTAAATTAGCAGCTCTATGTTGCATAAACTGCTGTGTGAGAAGTAAATTAGCAGCTCTATGTTGCATAAACTGCTGAGTGGGAAGTAAATTAGCAGCTCTATGTTGCACAAAATGCTGTGTGAGAAGTAAATTAGCAGCTCTATGTTGTATAAACTGCTGTGTGAGAAGTAAATTTGCAGCTCTATGTTGCATAAACTGCTGTGTGAGAAGTAAATTAGCAGCCCTATGTTGCATAAACTGCTGTGTCAGCCCAAGGCCACAGACTAGGTTAGCACATATAAATGGAAACAAATTTTTTTTACTCTTTAAAACTGTAATGACGCACCCAGTAACCTATCATATTTTCTCTATTTAATTCGTTGTTTGTCCTGATCCAAGTTTTGAATTGTAAATCTACTAGGTCATGCTATTGCTAGAGCAGCTATTTTTTGTTGCATTTACTATTTGTAGTTTTTTTTTGTTGAGTTGATTTTTGTATTTTATATAGTGTTTTTTGTAAAATCACTAGCAAAAATGAATTTTGCCTAACACTGCGGAACGCTATTCAGTGGCCACTGTATGCTGCCACATTACAAAATGAACCAAAATTGAGGTATTTTTGCTAATACATGGTTTTTGTAGAACAATGAACTCACTTTCATTTTCTATGAAAATGAACTCATGGAAAATAATTCTTATAATTAATTTTCCTGACAGAAGCGTATTTTTCCCCACGAAAAAAAATCAACTCTTCTTTTTTTTTTTAAAAAAACTAAGTAAATATTTTTCTCCAATAAATAAATAATTGCCTAAAATTAAAATTAGTGTGTAGGGGCATTCAATTATGATTAATTTATATCAGTAATGTGTGGGTTTTAAATCAACGGATAAAAAGAATTAAAGATATGAGTCATTTTGCTGCATAGGTACTGAAAAAAATTTAATGAAAAAGAAATAATTCAGGTGAAACGTTAAAATAATTCTGGGCTTAAAGAGTTAACAAATAAATACAATAATATTTTATACCAGGAAGAGGCGGTTGGGGTTTGTCTACATAACAGCTGAAGTAATGTCTTTCACTTTCTTGAGCGGACTTTGTTCTCATTCGATTGCTTACTGCAGGCCTGTTGAATATAAGTTAATTTGGTCACTTCAAATGAAGTGATATTTTTATGTTCACATTTGATAGTTTCAGAGAAGCAGCAACATAGATTATTCTAATAGAGTATGATAAAGAACCAAAATGTCTGTCGATGCACCTATTTTGATTACTAAACAAAGTAACAGCTCTACCAATTGCCAAGGCCATATTCCTGAATGGCATCCAGCAAACGCAGTTCTTCGGCTGCAGTCCAGCTGGCTTCAAACAGTGGAAAATCCAGTTTCTGTCAAATATAAATGTTGACAGATTAAACCAATCTGATACAATACCACAAATGAAATTGTTTTGTTTTTTTAATTTGAAATCATCTGTAACCAAAATAAAATAATCTATTATTAGGCCTACTTGTTGATAAAAATATTCTGCTTCTCTACAAACTTTTTAAAAAAAAGACTCAAAACTACAAAGTTCAACTTCATGGGTAGACTAAGTGGGCAATGTTTAGCCATACAATCTGTAGCCACAGGCTATAATACTTTCACTCTCACTAGTTTTTAATGGTTTTTTTTTAATATATCAGTTTTCTCAAAATTTAAGAGCTCAACCAATATCCCCTTTTAGACTTATTTTTGCACTCATGCGCAACCATAATAAAGTTGCAATAGATTTTATAAAAAGGCATACGAAATTTCATACAAGACTATTGTGTAACCTGGGGCTTATAAATTATGAGATAATCTAACATTTATTGAATCAACTTTGACAAGCAAAAACACAAAAATCTATTTACCACAACTGTGTAAGGGTGATCACTCTCATGTTGACCAATCTCTGCCCCATATGAAAAACAACGAGTACAAATGTCCAGATTAGGTTGACACTTGACACAGCGAATCCAAGGTACTTCAAGTGCAGCGCTACATACTTGGCAGCTGGAGTAAAATGATTCTGGCCCACTGTCATTTTCAACAGAAGCCATCTGTGAGAAATAATGTTGATTTTAATAATTTAGAATAAATTGATTGTCTATGATTGTCTAAGAGAAGAGGCATTAGCCTCACTAGGTGGGGTATCACCTGGTGTGGCATATATATATATATATATATATATATATATATATATATATATATGTATATATATATATGCCTAAATACTATTTAAATATATGCTATACACATGTCACATGTATACACACAAGTATGTATATAAGTATGTGTACATGTATTTTTATATCTTTTTTTTTTGGTGGACATTTCTGATCAGTACATCGTTTGTCTGTGAAAGTTGCAATTAGCGTGTGTGTTAATTAGTAACGATTTTTATCTCTAACGGGTTAATAATACAACTGGATGTAGCATTGTTTCCTCTTTAGTTAGCAAATCTACGTCATGGTGTCCATCATCAATTTGTATTTTAAAACTACTTAACTTAAATTAACCATTAATTGAACTGTAAATTGTGCCATGTTTTGCCTTGACGTCATGCCATTGGTGGTATCACCCGGCGTAGTCCTAATCTCCCAGAACTCTTTGCTAGATATTCCAACTTCAAAAACTACGCCATTGGCATTAGGGCACGTATTTTATCGATAATAGGTAATGCTGTGTTAAACAGACGACATGGCGTTGTCAAGGCCGAAGCGCTAGCTCGGGGATTTGACATGTATAATAACTCGTAAACAGATGTAGTGAATGCCATAAAACCGTTATTATAATACGTTTATTTAATGGAGACTTAAAGCTAATGGCAAGACACTTAGAATGTGTTTAATACGTAAACTTATTTAAAATGTGGCAGCACCATACGGGACATGTTTGCGAGATAAACTCATTATAATCGTGCGATCATTTTTAGCTTTAAGATTGTCATAATGGCGGTAATCGAAACATATAATACGACTACACTAGAATATCTGTATCGAATATTTCTAAAAACTCTATGCTAAAAGTGATGTTCTGCATTCTTCGGAAAATGGTGAGTTTTTATAAAGGCTGCATCAAAAAGTCCGGATGTGGAATACCGAATCGAAACAGCGGAAGTCGATATGCCTATACTTAGAAATCTACTAACTAAAGTAACTAAACTAGTAGATCTTAATTAATAAACTTACTAAACTATTAAAACTAAGCTAAGTTTGTAAATGTAGTACAGTACTAGTAGTAGTCACACTAGCTATGTTACTATATATTGTTACCATGTAGGTCCTATGTAGGCCCTATTATCAATTATGGATTAATTATTGGTAATCTATCATTTTAGGTATGTAAAATCGCCCGCAACTAGTAATGTGAAAAACAGGCGACTCCTTAAACTTTAAAAATTATTTCACATTTCGAGGATGATTTATTATGTTTTGAAAAATACAAAAATTTTTCCTTGTTTCATTTATGTACCTGGTTTTAAACAACTGAATTAAAACTTTTCAGTAATAAATGATAAATGAAGACTAGCGAATTTTCCAACAGATGTAGCCATGCTCATTTACTATAGCAGCCATCTTGTTTATTTTTTTTACTGTGTACTTATAGCGCAAGATTCAGGGGAAGCCACTCTAACTTACAGTTGGCCGCTTTTTATATAGCAAATCCTGCTTGCAAACACTGCTGTTTAAAGTTAATTTCTTGCCTATAGCATATTGATATATTTAGCTATTGATTTAGGTTTATTATTCATTTAGGGCCTATCTATAATATTTGACACAAATATATCACAATATACTAGATCAGGGGTTCCCAACCACGTGCCCGCGGGCACCATGGCGCCCGCCGAATGATTCGTATGAAAGGTTGAAGGGGGGTGGAAATTGAAAGTTTGAGGGGGGGGGGGGTGCAAATCGAAAGGTTGAAGGGGGATGGAAATTGAAAGTTTGAGGGGGGGGGGGGTGCAAATCGAAAGTTTGAGGGGGTGGGGGTGCAAATATAGAAAGTTTTGTCCCCGGGCGCCGGGAAGGGTCGCTACGCCTCTGGAAGGAGTTTGTCGATTTAAAATAGGTGGTGCCCGCCTCCCTACCGATATTTTAGAATGTGCTCTAGAGTAAAAAAAGGTTGGGAACCTCTGTACTAGATCTATATACTTCTATTAAAGCCTTGACAATGAGGTAACTTTTTCGTACATTACTACTCCGCGGGCGATTTTACTTAGGCTACCTAAAACGATAGATTTAAAGATTACCTTAATTATTAGGCCGATTCTAGTCAGAATAAGATACGCATGCGATACGCATGCGCAATGGAGAGAAACTACGACTTAGCTGCGATGTTTTCGATGGTACTGCGCATGCGTGTTTACAACCGCAGAACCCTAATACTGGCTAATACCAACCCTAATCCTATCCTTAACCCTATCCCTAATCCTACCCCTAACCCTCATTCTAGCCCTAACCCTAGGTCACTGCGCATGCGCAGAACTATCTTTTGCCGAAAAATCTTATTCCGAGTAGACACTTCGTAATTATTTTAATAAAATACTTTATTAGTAGTGTATGATATGATCATAATTGTACTACTACTACTAATTAGATATCTACTATCTAGTAGATCTAGTAGTTTTGGATATTTTTTCTATATCAATAATAATATTAATAATAGTAATACAGTAAGTAATAGGATAATACTTTAATTAAACGAATCTTTTGTAGATCTAGAGATCTAGGTCTATGCCAGAACAACTAGAGCACAAGTAAACAAAAAGTTTGGAATCTAAGCCTAATGAAGTTAACCAGTGACTTTTCCACACAACTTAGATATAAACAAATATATTAAGTATGCAAAAGACAGTTAGCGTTGCATTAAATCTATAGAATATAGAATCTAGATCAAGATTTAGATCTAGATTGTAGATTTGGATCAAAGTTCGATAAGACGAAAATAAAACAGCCGATGAAGCATTTGCTAAAATGCATGTTTGTTACAACATAAATAAATAGCCAATACGGCAATAACAAAAACACTTATTTTTCCATATGTTTAGAAACAATTAATTATTACTATAAAATAGATAGAAAATAAATAACTTGAGTAAAATAATTTTAGTGCTATAATGTTAAAGTATTTGAAATAATTTACATATTTAAATTTTCTACAGTGCATTATTCGGTGTATTATAGATTAAATATTAATAGTTTTCTAGAATTTATTTTTTTAAAAACATTGACCATAGCGACAAAAGACGCCAATATGAATGGAACCCAGAGTCGGCAAACTAATAATTTAAAATGTAATATACAATAAAATTAATATAGATTAGATCTAGATCTAGCCTTAGAATTAATATTTATATATATATAGAACTGGTGAAGACAATTATGAAACTAATTTGTAAGCAATGTTATACTGCTGTCTTAAAATTTGCTTGTCTAACTCTAAAAATCTAGTTTAGACGTCAACCCCCCCCCCTCCCCAAAACAAAATATAATTTATAGGGGCCTATTGAAAATATATACTTTTACTTTTACTAGTTTCGGCCCCCCCCCCCCCCCCCTACGACTATATATTCAGTATCAATGTGCAGTAACAACGTGTATAGTATATCTGAGTATATCAAGATTAAATCTGATTTAAATGCTGATTCTGGATAAAAATCCATTTTCAATCAAATTTTTTGTTTACAGTTGAAGTGGTGATTTTGTTGTCGGTTTAGAGAAAAAGACAACACTATCAACCTTATAGTGCCCATTGTATCTCAACAGCCATTTATCTCATCAATAACAATACTATATTTATTACAAATTATTAGACTTGTTATTCATTATTGACATTGCAGTAGTCTACACATTTTAATTTATGATTATGTATTTTGTATTTTTTATCTATGTATTTTTAAACTTTATTCTGACAGAAAATAATAAATAAGTTATTAAGTAGTTTACTCTACTTAAAAAAAAAGCTGGGAAAAATGAGTGTTTCAAAAGGTGAATCATCTGTACGTGTTGGTGTAACACTGGATCTTATTTTAAAAACTTTGATCGCATCATCTGACTTCACATCTCTAGACTGTAAAAATTGGGAAGCAATCTCAAATTTCATACCTGGGACAACAGCAATCCAGGTATCCTATGACTTTATTTCGTAGGACAAATTTTGTCATTATCCCTACATATCTTCAATGAAGGGTAATTGCTGTAAATAGTAGTCTAATATAATTTTTAGGACTAACAATTGCATGCTTTTTTTTAACCTTACAGTTTTTTTATTCATTAAAAATAGACTCATGACTTATCCTAAGAATCCTTGCCAATAAAGCACTTTGTCTAGTTTATATATAAAGTGTATATTTAAGCATATTAATGTTTTTACTGTAATTTTTTTCTTCATAGTGTGCACGTAGATATGAGGAGTTGTTATCAAGTGGGGGTGGCATTGCGTTTCAGCATTTGACAAACACATTAAGCACTAGTGGACTTCGAAACAGTACAAGTGTGGCAAGTCTGACTGATTCAGAGAGCAGTGGGCGTATAACAACCATTAGCAGACCAAATTCTAGCAAAACCAAAGGTAAGACCAGATAAAGTTTGTATTTCAAGCTGCTGTCTCTTGCTCTAATTCCATTTAGCCCCCAGCGAAGAATAGGGCAGAGACAGCACCTCACCAGTAATACAGTTAGTGGCTACATATCCTAACCCAAGCCATTAAATCTACTTTTTTTCTGGGTTTTCTAGTAAGTTACAGTTGAAATTTAAAGAGTTAAAATAGGATTATGCTTTAGTTTATAATGGGTTAAAATTTGTCCATGAGGTAGTCGCTATTCAAAAGTCTAGATCTAGTAAGCTCGTTGATGGTACGTTACAATTAGATAAGCTATTGAATAAAATGATTAGGAAAAAAATTTCTAATTCATGTGGACTGATCAAAATATTCTTAACTTAATTATCAATTACTTTATTGTTTTTTACTTGCAGAAATGCTCAAATGTTTCATTAGCAGAAGTATAGATCAAAATTTAATTTTTAAGCACATTTTAAAAATGAACAATTAATAGAAAATTAATTATATCTTGAATATTACAGGGACAAGAGAAGACAAAGACAAAGCTAGTGCTAGCAAAGATGGACAAGCACGAAAAGATCTTGGGCATAAAGGGTATATTTTTCCTATTTACTTTTAATTTATTTTTGGACCTTAGTAGCTTTTTAAAACTGTCGATTATTTATATCATCTACCGCATTTGAAACAAAAAAGTCCTTTCTTATAGCTTAATACTAAACAAAAATATATGCACATAGACGTTCATACACTTACTGATTTTTAAATGATTTTAAAATCTTAATTTTCTATTTAAAAACAGACCTATTATGGTGATTCATGTTTGTGATGAGGGAAAAAATTGTAAGTTTTGTTTCAAATATTGTTTAAAATTAAATTTGGATTATTCTGAACATCACCCATAAACAAAATAACAAATAACACAAATTAATGATACTGTGTGATGGAACTTACTGTTTTTTCAATTTAATTAACAAATTAAATAGTATAAAAAAGTATATTATTTATGGGATGTAGCTATTTCATGTTTGGCAAATTACATTTCTAGTAGCCTGTGATTCCTGTAATAGAGACCAATAATTTAAGATATTCTCCGTTTTAAAATAAGCTAAATAAAAAAAAACCCAGATATACTTCTGACTTATTGGACATACACAGTAGTTAACACACGTAAAAATCTGTTTTCAGTAAAAAAAGATTTCCAGTGTCCAAGAGATTTGCTGGTCCAGGAGATGAAATATTTTGCAGAGTATCTGTCAACTGACGCCCAACGTTGGGAGGAAGTGGACATTTCCGTTCATTGTGATGTGCAGATATTTGATTGGCTGATCAAGTATGTCAAGCGTGGAACAAAAGAGGTCACAGAGGAGCCAAAATTAGGTAAGCCTTAGTTAGCGTACCCGTAAATCTTGTGTTCGAATCTGGTTAAGTCAGTAGACCGTCCCTGAGTCCACCCAACTCTGATGGGTACCTAACTCACGTTAGGGAAAGTAAAGGCAGATGGGCATAGTGCTGACCACACTATCTCTTCATATGCAGTTTACAGAAACAAGTGAACTCTACTTCACTTGCCCCATAGACCATCAGGTTCGAAAGGGAAACTTTACTAGTTAGCTTAGCCACATAAAACCTATTAATGGTTACTGTATAATTTAGATTTCAAATCGTTAATTAAAATAATTATATGGCTAATAATACAAATGTAATTTTAAACATCAGACAAGACATCAAACTCTCCTTTGGCGAATAATAAATGTAGCATAATAATTGCTTCCTATTATAGAAGCCAACTATGTTGTTTCAATACTGATATCATCAGATTATATGGCTAATAATACAAATATAATTTCAAACATCAGACAAGACTTCAATCTCTCCTTTTGTTGATAATAAATGTAGCATAACAATTGCTTCCTTTTACAGAAGCCAACAATGTTGTTTCAATACTGATATCATCAGATTTTCTAAAGATGGATAATCTGGTGAGTAATCATATCAATTTTTATCTTACTGATCATTTGTGTGTTGAAATATTTAAATAATGCCCTAATGTGTGTCTTGTGTGTTTAATTTATTTACACAGGTTCAAGAATGTGTAGAGTTTTGTCATAAAAATATGAGTGCCATTGTTGCAACACCTTGCAATATGGGTTGTATTAATGACAGATTGCTTACAAGGTATGGTTCGCATTTGTGGAAATTTTCTTGTATCAAATGTGGTCATTTTTATAGAAACTAAATAGCAGTTGTTTTTATTGTTGTTTCAGAATAGCTGAGCTGTTTACTCATAATGAAGCTGATGAAGTTAAAGACAGGAAAGACAAGTTCAAAAGGTTGGCAACTAAAATTTTACTTTTGTTTTGTTTAGAAAAGTAACCTTTTAACCCTATTGTTCCTTTGGGCAGATGAAGTAGACAGTGTTTCGGGGGAGGGGGAAGACGACCAAAAATTCATGAGGGGGTGGGCGGACACTGTTAAAAGTATATGTTTTCTACATACATGCTATTTTGTTGGGGGTGGGGGGAGGGGGGCTTAAAGAGATGCCTGGAAGAAACATCGGAAGTAGAGTTCATCTTTTTCAGTGACCTTGTTCTATTAAGGGATAGTGTGGTTAACATTATTCACATTACTTTCTGTTAGATGAGTCAGGTACCCATTAGAGCTGGGTGGGGAGATCTTACAGCTCTAGCTCGGTGGGGAGGTCTTACAGCTCTAGCTCAGGATCTGAATTTGTGACTTTTGGGTTAGCAGTCGATCACTCTACCATTCAACAATGCCCTCCACTTTTTCTGCTTACTACCTGAAAATAGTTTTTGCTGTTAAAAGACTTCATCAAATAAAAATAATACTCCAAACCTTCCACAGCAAACTGTTCTCCAAAAAGATCGAGAAACTTTTTGAACCTGGGACAAAAAATGGTGACTCACCAGAGCTGGCAAGCACACTGTTCAAGTAGGTCACAATGTGTACACAATGTGTAAATGTGTCTGAATGTAGATCACTCTAATTCTCAACTGTAAATAATGTATCTGAATGTAGGTTTCTCAAATACTCAACTGTAAATGATTCATAGATATGTCTGAATGTAGATCACTCTAATACTCAACTGTAAATGATGTATCTGAATTTAGGTCACTTAAAATACTCAATTGTAAATTACACATACAGGTGTCTGAATGTAGTGCTTTGGGTTTTTTGAACTTGTATTTAAATGGGAACAGGGCATTCCCCCCCCTCCCCCCCTGTCAATTACCTTGGACATTTCCCCCCCCCCCCCGCGACATTAACCCCCTGGAGTAATTAATTATCCCCCGCCCAGTAGGAAATTACCACCCCCCTCCCCCCTGGACAGGGTTAGAGTTAGGTTTAGGACTATGTTTAGGCTAGGGTTAAGGTTAGGGTTAGCGTTGGTTTTGGTTTTGAGTTAAGTTTTAGGCCAAGGTGAATGCTTAGGTTTTGGTCTTTTTCGTAAGGTTAGGATTAAAGTAGTGTATAGGTATAGAAATCTAGTTAGAGTTAGGATTCTAACTTGAGGGGGGGGGGAGGGGGTAATTCCCCAGGGTGGTAATTGACAGGGGGGTAATTGCTCCAGGGGGTAAATACGGGGGGGGGGGGATATTCGGGGGGGGGGGGGGGTAATTTCCACTAGGTTATGTCCTGTAGCCATTTAAACATATTACTACCTAGTGCTAAACATGTCAAAATCTTATTAGGCCTATTCCATTTCTAATCCTAAATGAAATCTTTTAATCTCTCATCTAAATAAAATCGGTTTTTGTTTCATTTCCAAGAAGACAAGAGCACTCTCACTAACCCCATCATTTAAAGCAATTTAAATTTTTATTTAATATATTAATTCAAGCTTTGAAAGTGTCTTTCAGTTTTAGTAACTCATTTGAAATTTTAATGTTTGAAAAAATTAAACAAAAACCATATTTAATAATAATTGCCAAACAGTTATCACTGGGGTTGTCCCAGTTATGCTGGCAGAAGGTTTCATTTTGAGACCACTACCAAACTCATAACCTTTACCACTGAACAATCAGAAAGAAGATGATAACTTGACATAAATTACCAGTGTCATTTCATGCTGGTTTTATTGCATGCTTATGAATAGAAATTTCAAATTTTTAAAAATCTAGACTGGACTTGACTTGAATATACATGGGGTCGTCCATAAACAACATCATACTCGGTGGGGGGAGTGGGGGTCCTATATTTTGTGATGATGAGTAGGGGAGGAGGGGGTGGGGGATCGGATAGTGTGATGTCACACTTTTGCATTTTAAAAAAGTAACGTCAGCTACTAGTTTGCATTTTAGAAAACTGTTTTAATAAATTTAATACAATTGACTTAAATTATATTTTAGAAAAAAGTCGATGTTTTAAAAATATTCAACTGCAGTTTGAGGGGGGTGGGTTTTAGGCTGAGGTGTGATGTCATTTTAAGTGGGGGGTCTGACTTTTTGTGACAATGTGTGACGGAAGGGAGAGCGGAGGAAAAATTTGTCAAAAAAAGCATGACGTCATTTATGGTTGAGACCGATGTACATAAAGAAATGACCACTGTATACGATGACAAGACAAAACATTCTTCATCCTAGTACAACAATACAAAGAATGCACTATCCTTCTTCTTCATCAACAACAAGCATACTCCAAACCTTCACAAAGTCATCATATTTTATTCATACCAATTCCTTCCAAAAAAACGAATTCTCTCTAAACCCTTGCCATATTGACCATTCACTTCCCAACACACAGGTGCAGTGTGTGTAAGCGCCTCTTGACTAAAACTCTGAAATCAAAAGTAAAATGCATGCCAAGTAGGTAAGTATATGTTTATTGAACTTAAGCTTTTAATTATAAGCTTAGTTGGGGTGGCTTAGAGGTAGAGAACAAGACAGCTAACCCAAAAGTCTCTAGTTTGAATCCAGGTTCAATTTTAATAGCCTATTTAAATCTACTGTTTTTATTGTGCTAATCCCTGTCCAACCAAGACAGCTGAACAATGGCCGGAACAATGAACATAACATTTATATGACAAGAAAAAAAAGATCAGTGTAGTGCTGTTTTGTAAACATATGCATGCGCTTCTTCTAGCTAGAATTGGCTAAATCCCAGTAAGCTCCAGGAAAAAATCTCAGTGGACCCACTGGAAAAATCTTGGTTGGCCCCCAAGGAACAGTGCTGAAGTAATAGTCCTAGTAAAAAAAGTTGATTCCTCTTTAGAACTAACAACCCATTGGGCAGTTGAAGTGGAGTTTGTATGTTTCTTGACCTTGTCACATAAAGGGATAGTGTGGTCAGCACTATGCCCAGCCACCTTTACTTTCCCTAACGTGATTAAGTAGCCATCAGAGTTGGGTGGATTCAGGGATGTTCCACTAACTTGAACCCAGATTTGAACTCGAAACTAGCGGGTTAGCAGGCTAGCGCTCCACCGCTAGGCCACGCCATCCCACAATAGTCCTAGTAATGGTTTTATTTTTTAAAAACAATTTGTTGGTATTTCTTCATTATACCAGTTCCTCTCCTTCATACCAAGGCGTAAAATCCAATTTGATGGGAAAAAAATCAATCTAGTTGGGGTCCTTTTTGAAAATTTCTCGGCTCTTGGACACAGCTAGTCCACCCCTGGCTATGGCGGATTTTAAAAATTTGAAAAAGCTGTTTCATAACACTTAATTTAGTTTCCATTCTCCCTAGGATGACCATAGACAGGAGTGGGCAGATGACCTTCTCGCATATCCCTGACCTTGCCTTTGATGTGAATGACCACATCCTGGAGCTGAAGACGGAGCTGAAGAGCTGGAGAGATGTCTACTGGAGGTTGTGGGGGACGGTCAACAGCTTGACCTGCGGCCGGTGCGAGCAGGTGTTTCCCCTGACTGAGTTTGGTCACTGCAGGTAAAACGATACAAATGTACACCAGGGTCATAGGTCAGTGCTACACCTGGGTGTTATGTTATAGGTCAGTGCTGCACCTGGGTGTTATATGTCAGTGCTACACCTGGGTGTTATAGGTCAGTGCTACACCTGGGTTTCATATATATATATGTGTATGTATGTATATATATATATATATATATATATATATATATATATATATATATATATATATATATATATATATATATATATATATATATATATATATATATATATATATGTTATATATACAATTGTATAATCCAAGGAATTCAAGTGTTTCTGTTTATTCCCTTGTAATCATAAAGCTACCACCCTGAAGCGCCAGTCTATGACAATGAGCCAGGTGCTGTCAGCTCTTGTGTTGGCATGTACCCATGTTGCCAGGAAACATCTGTACGGTTTGATCCAACTCAAATCAACAAGGTTTATTTATTTTTTTCTAAACTCAGACTAGCATAAACTTTTGTTTATTTTTATAGAATTCATACTAAAAGTACACAAAACAACATCATCAAAAACAGCATTTAATTTTAATTTAAGGACTGCACATATGAATAAAATAGTAAAAGATAAAAAAAGTAATAAAAAGCTTAAATAGGCATTAATAAATAATTAAAATACTATTTACAAAGACTGTTAAATTTCAACCTGTGTTGAAAAAAAAACATAAATAAATAAATTGTATAAAAACAGCTTGTAAACAAAAGAAATGATCATATAAATGAATATTGACATGAATACAGCTTTTAAACATTAAAGAAAATGTCATTTAAATGAATATATGGCATGAGTACAGCTTATAAACACGAAAGAAATTATCTATTAAATCAAGGGTCTCCAAACTTTTCAGTCCGAGGGCCGCATTTACTATCAAATTTCAGTTCGGGTGCCAGTTTCTTCCTGGCATGTCATTGATTTTTCTGGGCAAAGTTCCTCAGCCATCACCAACAAACGTTTTTTCCGTGGACAAAAAGATCGCCGCGGGCCGGATGAAAAGTTTTTGCGGGCCATAGTTTAGAGACCCCTGATTTAAATGAATAAATGGCATGAAAACATGAAAGAAAAGATGAAATAAATGAATAAATGGCATGAAAACTGAGCTTATAATCTCCATGTAGGGATGTAAGGTCAAAGATCATGTGGTCAATCTGCCAGCGTTGGCTGAGGGGGACAAAGCAACCAAATCCCAGTCCCAAATTCTCTTGAACGATCTCCTTGCCAGGAGAGATGTTATATGTGTACCACATCACAGGCCGCTAGAACCAAGGTAGAGCTGTCTCTTGTTTTTTTGTCTTTTTGCATTCTCATATTTGTAGCGTTATTAGTAAACCTAAAATAATTTTTTTTAGAATACAACCAAATTATTTTTTTTTTTAGAATTCAACCTTAAATATTTGTTTTTAGAATCAAACCCAAAATTTGTTTTTTAGAATTCAGCCTAAAATATGTTTTTTTTAGAATTCAATCTAAAATATTTTTTATAGAATCCAGCCTAAAATATTTTTTTTTTAATCCTGCCTAAAATATTTTTTTAGAATCTAGCCTAAAATTATTTTTTTTAATCCAACCTAACATTTTTTTTTTAGAATCCAGCCTCAAATATTTTTAAAAATTAAGTTGGGAGTCTTTATTATGCTGTTGATTAAATCTACTAAATTAACTGCTTAGGTTTTTTTCCCCACATGTGTTCATCTTAAATATTGCTGCAGTAGGATTGATCACATCATTATCATGCACTTCACACTAATGTAAAGATTCCTCTTTAGATTAAGCGATCTATTGGCCAGATGAGGTAGAGTTCATTTGGTTTTTACCTCGACATATGAAGGGATATTGTGGTCAGCACTATGCCCAGCTTTTTTTACTTTCCTTAACATGAGTTAGGTACCTATTAGAGCTGGGTGGGCTCTGGGACACTTCACTGACTTGAATTCAGATTCGAACTCGAGACTTGCTGGTTAGCAGTAAAGTGCTCTACCACTATGCCATGCTGTCCCTCCACCGTAATGTGAGACTATATAAACAGTTGTATTGTTTTCTACTTTGGCAGTGATATGGTTATAGATGTGTTTGGCAATGAGCTGTTTGCGTGCCAGACTAGAACATCGGGCGTACAACTCCCCAGTTTAAGTGCTGTGGGTTCTGATGAGAGCAGAGTTGAGGTACGTCATAGCTACATCATTTGTACATGGGTCTTTCGGGAGGGAAGGTGATGTATGTCATAGCTACATTTGTATGTGGGTATTGTGGGAGTGATGGTGATGTTTGTCACAGCTACATCATTTGTATGTGGGTCTTTTGGGAGGGAAGGTGATGTATGTCATAGCTACATTTGCATGTGGGTATTTTGGGAGTGATGGTGATGTATGTCATAGCTACATCATTTGTACGTGGGTCTTTTGGGAGGGAAGGTGATGTATGTCTTAGCTACATTATTTTGGTGTGTTTATGTGTGGTCAATTTTGGTGTGTTTGTGTTTAGGGGTCGGGGTGAATCCTAACTACAGGCAATTTTTCATTCTGATAAACATTATGGCTAGTCATAGCTGTACAAGAAAAATCTATATTCTAAAGACAATTCCATTCTGTTGCATTTAATTTACACATTACTATATCTTAATTTTATTACATTAAAAAATGTCTGAGAGTTCATTAGATAAATACCAATGGTAGCTGCAGTGAGATTAAGGCAATTAGTAATAAAACAGCTAGTGTTAATTATCTCACAAATTAAAGACAATAACAATGGACGTTTTGACCCAAGATGTTTGTCAACACATAACTGTAACGAAATGTCCATTGTACCTGCAGTAGTCTTTAATTTCTGAGGTAACTAACACTACATGTTTTATTACTGATCGTTCATTAAGTACAATTTGACTATGGGTTTGTTCACTTGTGCTGCTCATAAAAATACGAGTGCTTCATCACAAACTATCACATATAAATTGTATTTTGATTAAATATGTATAGAGAAAGTAGGCCAATACTATTTTTTTTTTGTAGAGATATTTCATCATCATTCATTCATTTTTCCTTTGTAGCCACTGGGGAGCAGAGGGCAGCAGTTACACTTTTCCAGCAGACTCGGTTTTGGGCTGCTCCCTTTATCTGTGCCCACGCGAGCCCAGTTGTTTTCGCCTCTTCCTCTACCGTTCTTCTCCATGATCTCTTTGACTGACCCACTTTCCTTTTTCCCGGGGGAATATTTTCCTTCTTTCCGTTCTTAGCGTGTGTCCAATCCATCCCCATTTACTGGCCTTGATATCCTATTGGCTGTTGTTTTGTATTTTGCCTTTGATATTTAGTCCTCTAGATATTTTCTCTTGTGAACTATATTTTTCTTAAACTATTTTTCAATCTGCAATTATTCAGCTCTCCCCACTAACTGAAATTAGTAGTAAAAAAAAATGTTTCTTCACAGGTGAAGCCGAGGTTGCAGCCCTTGACTATCGAGAAAGAGGTTTCTTTTTTTATTGACAGCTTTGGTTCAGAGAGCGATGATGAACTGGGAGATGATGAATCACAAAAAGACAGGTCCAACTCTGGTCAGTTAACTTTTTAGTTTTTCTTTAAGACATGTCTAACTCTGGTCAGTTAACATTTTAGTTGTTCTTTAACATGTTGAACTCTGGTCAGTTAACTCTTTTAGTTATTCTTTAAGACAGGTCCAACTCTGGTCAGTTAACTTTTTAGTTGTTCTTTAAGACAAGTCTAACTCTGGTCAGTTAACTTTTTAGTTGTTCTTTAAGACAGGGCTAACTCTGGTCAGTTAACTTTTTAGTTGTTCTTTAAGACAAGTTTAACTCTGGTCAGTTAACTTTTTAGTTGTTCTTTAAGACAAGTTTAACTCTGGTCAGTTAACTTTTTAGTTGTTCTTTAAGACAAGTTTAACTCTGGTCAGTTAACTTTTTAGTTGTTCTTTAAGACAGCCAAATTTTTAAAGAAGTTCTCTAGATTCTGCTTAGCTAAGTTTTTAGAAGTTCCCTTACAAGTAATCTTAGACGTTCTTAGAAGTTCTTTTAGAATCTGATCAGCTGATGTTTTAGAAGTTCTTTTATAATCTGTTCTATGTTTGTATCAGTATATGTAATGAAGGATAGTTAGGAATTATAAAAGCCATACCTTACAATTTCTTTTAGCTTTAACAAGCAGAAGAGAGAAAAAAGGTTTGAAGAAATCTCTGGTAACTGTTGAACCCCAAGCCATTCTGCTGGATGCCCCTGAATTTGAGTGAGTTCCCCTGCAGGCTATTTTTAGATGCTTTTATTTAGTTCACAATATTTGTTTGTTTGTTTGTGAGATGTGGTAAATTTTGTAACTTAATTTTGACCAACTTCTAATGCAGCGATTTAGTTCAAACTTTCCAGACATGTTAATCCTTGTTGACAATGCAAGAATATCTATTTTTGAATCTAATTAGATATTAAGTTAGTCATTAAAATGGCATCCTACTAAAGCCATTACATTTTTAATCCTACACCACAAACATTTTGATCTGTTTTCCCATCTGGATTTGAACCCAAACCTTGTTTTCTGTGCAGTCCTAACCATGATTGTTGTCTTGTCTTCCCTTATGTTGATCAGCTGTTGAGATTTCATTTTCTTGACAGCCAGATGAAGAAGTTGACGTGGGACACCCAGCGTTCCATCAGATACAACCAAGATGCTCAGAGACAGGAAGGTACAGGACAGCCCACACCATCACCATCACTTCTACCCCGCCCAGCAGCTCATTGCATTGCCACTAAGACCCCCCCCCCCCACAACTTATTTCATTGAACACTTCACCCCTCCATCCAACCTTCAACAACTTTATTTATCACCCCACCCTCTACAACTTCAGTGATTACTTTGTAACTAAGACCCCCACCACCATCCCCACCACCACCCCCACTTGAACACTTTACCCCCCCCCCCCCCCCCCCCCCAAACAACTTATATGTAATTAATTAGGTCACCCACCACTGCCCCAATTTAACTGACATAAATAAAACACAATTTTTTAAATTTATTTTTTCCATGAAAAAATATCTTATGCACAAAGCTACATTCCCAGTTACATAACACATCTCCCACCAGTTCACCTTATGATCTACTTCTAGATAACCTTAACACATTTTGTACTTCATACAAAAAAAAGGGAAATAATAGAGACTTGGAACAAAAACATCAGAGTTATCCTTTTGTTCCTGTTCTCCCGTAGATGCCAGACAGATAAAAGAAATTCTAGATAACCTTAACACATTTTATAATTTTTAAATTTAAAAAAAGGGAAATAATAGAGACTTGGAATAAAACATCAGAGTTATCCTTTTGTTCCTGTTCTCCCATAGATGCCAGACGGATGAAAGAAATACGACTTTTTCTGACACGACTCAGACTCACACCTGAGAAGGTGGACAGACCAAAGAAAGAGGTGACAAGTTTTGTCTTTTTAGTAGAAGAAAGGTGGGGTCGGTGTGGTCAAGTTGGTAAAGTTCAGGGTTTGCGAAACTAAAAACTCTCAAGTTCAGGCAGATGATGCTTTATAGCTGGGGACAGCAACCCATCTAGAAGAGACAACTCCTAAATCAAACAACTGCTGTCTTGTAGTTTGTTTTTGGTTGGACAAAGGCTATGGATAGAAGCAAATCCAAAAAAGAAAAGCAGGAGACAACGGCCTATATGGTGCATAACGGGTTGACATGAAATAATTAAGTGAGTTGGAAGAAATCTCATCCAATGTTACAATTAAGAACAAAGAAAAAAAAATTCTTTCTGCTGTTAAAACTTTTCTTATTTTGCTGTTTACAACTTTACTCCTGCCTCAACAAGTGTTTTATTACTGGCAGTAATAAAACACTATGCCAGTAACAAAGTCAAATCTATGTTCAAACTTTTTTAGGTTTATTGTATACTTGATTTTATAGAAAACAGATTATACAGTCTAGGGGTAGGGAACACAGTGGTAAAACTAAAATCCTTGTATTTTTTTTTGTGTATGGAGGCTGTTACAAATTTTGAATTTTTAAAATTCTTGACTTTAATTTCTTGCAAGCCTATATGTATTAAAAAGATTTTATTGTGACAGCCATTAAATCTTCGTGTATCTGTAACCCACATTTTTTCAAGCAAAGCCCAATAAAAATTGAAAAGCAGTATGTTATGGAATATAGCAATATAAGAACCATGTTATATACTGTGGTAGATTTTTCTGTACATTTTCACAGCAAATAACTTACTATGGATTTAGTGTTGACAAATTAATTTACTGATTTAGTGTCATTTATCTGTTTTAGTGTATGATTTTTCAGAAGCAATGTTATAAACATTATTTAATAATAATAATAAAAATTTTATTTAAAATTTTTTTTTCCCCTGTCATTTATCTATTTTAGTGTATGATTTTTCAGAAGTAATGTTATAAACATTATTTAATAATAATAATAAAAATTTTATTTAAATTTTTTTTTCCCCTGTCATTTATCTATTTTAGTGTATGATTTTTCAGAGGCAATGTTATAAACATTATTTAATAAAAAAAAAATTTTTCCCCTAAACCTGTAGTATCTTGGAGGTATCTTCAGCAAGTTGGAAGCCCAATGGAGAGTCAACAATGTACAAACTATAGTCAAACAGACTTTGCCTGGGCAGTTTAGGTAGGCAACTAGTTTCAGACAGCTGGGAATCATGGGACAAGGGAAATAAAGTTAAAACACATATAATAGGCTTGAAAGAAAAGTCTGTGAAATCATACTAAATTTTTAAAAATCTTTTTAAAAATATGAAAGCGATAAAATTATAGTCACATTTTTAAAAATCTAGGCTTCAGTGAACCTTCGATTACACCCATTTTCATATTTTTGTATTGAATATAAGCTGTTGAAAAGCAGTTTTCAATTATTTTATCAATTCAATATTTAAAAAAAAAAAACCTCAACCCCCTCCTTAAAGTCAACCAGAATAATGAGGAAAGTAAAACAATGAAAGACACAAACATTGTTTTCCATGATAAAATACACTACAGCGCTTAATGGGGTATAGCCGGGTAGTTTATATTAAATAATATAACATCCCCTATCACCACAACACCCTGACTCTACTAATCCAAATTTAAAAAAAAAGTATTTGCTAAATTACTATTATATTACTAGAATTATTTTTTTGAATATTTCTAGCCTTAATAAAATCGGAAGTCCTTGGACTTATTTTCACAAATGTTATAAAATATTCAACTTTGGTTGAAAAATATGCTTTCTGGCAACAACCATTTGGAACCAGCTTTTTAAGCCTATTGTCAGCACATAGAGCACACAAAGGGAGACAACTGCCTCTTTATAGTAGAATTGTTATCACTATCAGTCAAACAGGATAACAGCTGGCAAATTAAAATAATACCTTAAATTAAGCTGGCCTTTTTTGGAATACCAAGGGGAAAAAAATTGTTATTTGTAGCATTTTAAAATTAAATTTTTAAGTGTTATAAATAAAATCGTATGATATATGGCATGTTTTAAACCCAATTTTTAAGTACTATTAAATTTATTTAATTCACATAAAGAGCTTTATATTTTTAATGTTGGACATTTGTTTCTTTGACAGAGCTCGACCTAAACCTTTGGGAGCACCAAAACAAGTCACCACTTGATGGGATCACCACATGATGATCACCATTTGATTGTTACACTGTTGCTAATCATTCGATGATTCTTATATATGATCACAACCTTATGCTCACCACATGAAAACCTATTTATTAGTGTGTACAGAACATGACCAAACCAAAACAGACAGCATGAAAATATTGTGTACAATTGTACACCTGTGTTTGCTAATCACTCGATGATTCTTATATATGATCACAACCTTATGCTCACCACATGAAAACCTATTTATTAGTGTGTACAGAACATGACCAAACCAAAACAGACAGCATGAAAATATTGTGTACATTTGTACACCTGTGTTTGTCATGTTCACAATTTTCTCTGACAAGGTATAAAACTAATTTCTACTTTACACAAACTGACTCAACACTTACTATGTAGAAATGTTTTATATCTTTTGTCCAGTTATGTATTTTGTTTAGATTGAAGATGGCCATAGAGAATAGAAAAACAGTTTGACATATTTTGTTTAGATTGAAGATGGCCATAGAGAATAGAAAAACAATTCGACATATTTTGTTTAGATTGAAGATGGCCATAGAGAATAGAAAAACAATTTGACATATTTTGTTTAGATTGAAGATGGCCATAGAGAATAGAAAAACAATTTGACATATTTTGTTTAGATTGAAGATGGCCATAGAGAATAGAAAAACAATTTGACATATTTTGTTTAGATTAAAGATGGCCATAGAGAATAGAAAAACAATTTGACATATTTTGTTTAGATTGAAGACGGCCATAGAGAATAGAAAAACAATGTGACATATTTTGTTTAGATTGAAGATGGCCATAGAAAATAGAAAAACAATTTGACATATTTTGTTTAGATTAAAGAGGGCCATAGAGAATAGAAAAACAATTTGACATATTTTGTTTAGATTGAACATGGCCATAGAGAATAGAAAAACAATTTGACATATTTTGTTTAGATTGAAGATGGCCATAGAGAATAGAAAAATAATTTGACATATTTTGTTTAGATTGAAGATGGCTATAGAGAATAAAACAACAAGTTGACAGAGAACAATTTGTTCTTAGTTATGTTTTCACACACATTTGAAGACTTAAACAACTTACTAAAAATAAATTGTGTTTTATTTTACAATCCGATGTAAACCAAAGGTACAAGCATCTGATAGTTTTATTTTTTGGTCTTTGTTTCTGCTGGTTGTGATATAATTTGTTCGATATAATTGCATTTGAAAATTTAAAACAAATTGTTATAGTCCTTTTTTTATATGAGGTCAGTCATAAACGACATCATGCAATCATAGGATGGGAGGAGACGTAAGGGGGGTGGAGGGGTGGTGAATGTTTGGTAACTTTTCATTCACACTTGCATTGTTAATAAACAACTGTTGACATTTATGGGGTGGGGGAGGAGGGAATGTGTGTTTGTTTTCTTTGTTACGAAGAGGGGGAATGTAAAATCTTTTGAAAAGCACGCTGTCATTTATGTATGAGCCCTAACTACTTACTGAAGACAAACACCAATTTAATGAAAATATTTTTAAAAAGAATATTGGTGAAAAAGCAAACTTGTTTTATACGGGTTAAGTAATCTCAGTTTTAAGCTGTAGGAGATTAGTTTTATCTGGAGCTCACCACGTTTTACTACACAACATCTTCATAAATTTATCAAAGACAAAACTATGTTTAAAAATTAGAAATAGGCATAACCATCCCAGAAACATCCCAGTGTTTGTATAAGTATCACAAAAAACATTCATTAAAATATACATGATAATTCTTTTACATTAAATTTGCCATTTAAAAAATCTTTAACCTTTGTTAAAAAAAACAGTTGCAACATAGGATGGGATTGTGGATCACAGTAGGTAACAGTTTAAAATATGTTTCCTTCATCCCTCTACTGACCCTCCCCCAACCATCTTAAAAGTCCAGAGCAAACAACTGGAGCAAAGGTCATGAAGTATTCCTTCTCTTTTGCGCTTTACTTCATTGATAGACAATAGGAAGAAATGAACCACCACACCAAAAAAAAAAAAAGCGTCTAGAAACACATGAGGGATATCAATGTCATTTCAGACGTTTTTACAATTCCCATTATTTACCAAACCTAAAAGCGACCACAGGTTTAAAATGTGTATTGCTGACCACTAGATAAGCAGTACAAATAAACACTTGAGAATGTCCTTAAGTGACCCCTTGACCAGTAGGTCAAGTACCTGGCAGTACAAATGACCATTTGGAAGGCCCACTTAACTAGAAAGACAGATGACCAGTTTAGAATGACCACTTGGCATACATTACAAATGATCAGGAGTACAAATGACCAGTTTAGAATGACCACTTGGCATACATTACAAATGATCAGGAGTACAAATGACCAGTTTAGAATGACCACTTGACCAGCAGTACAAACGATCAATTGACCAGCAGTACAAATGACCAGTTTAGAATGACCACTTGACCAGCAGTACAAATGACCAGTTTAGAATGACCACTTGACCAGCAGTACAAATGACCAGTTTAGATTGACCACTTGACCAGCAGTACAAATGACCAGTTTAGAATGACCACTTGACCAGCAGTACAAATGACCAGTTTAGAATGACCACTTGACCAGCAGTACAAATGACCAGTTAAGAATGACCACTTGACCAGCAGTACAAATGACCAGTTTAGATTGACCACTTGACCAGCAGTACAAATGACCAGTTTAGATTGACCACTTGACCAGCAGTACAAATAACCAATTTAGAATAACCACTTGACCAGCAGTACATATGACCACAGCCCCTGTTACTGATCCAACTGGAACCTCCATTGTAAACCACAATCCTGCAAGTGGACCAGTTTCTCTTTCAGCACTCCATCAAACAGATCATTGACCTCTGCTGTGAATTCGTTTCTCCAGTCTCCAACCAAGCCTAGAAAATAGAACACAACAGTCGTCCATAAATGAGTTCACATATTTTATACCTCCAGCCTGTCTTAGACCGTCATAAAGTGTCAGACTCATACAAAAATATCAAACATTACTCCCCCCACCTTTTTTTTTCCTCTCCGGAATATTTTTTTAGACAAATTCCTTTCCATCATACCATCATGTTACTAAGATGAGCTAAGATTGAGTAAAATACATTTGTTTTAACAATTTATGAAAAAAAAATCATTAAAGAAAACTGACAACCAGCGTTACTTCAAAGCCTAAGGCACACAATATAGTTACTAGTCAGCGTAAAATAACGTCGCATTACCACCCCACCACATGTAGCCAGAGTTTCTTTCAGGCATCTCTTCGAAGAAAGTCTACCGCTCCCACCCCCGAACGAAATGGAATTTATATAGAAAACATACTTTTACCAGTGTCCGCCCCCCCCCCCCCCCCCCACACGGAAAATGTTGACCGCCCCCCGCCCCCGAAAATATCAAGTGCCCCCCCCCCCCTCCCCGGAGAAAAAAAGTCTGGAAGAAATACTACACGTAGCAACGTAGTCCAGATTTCTTTATCAGTTACTTTATTTTTATCTTTCATTGATTCAAGGTAACAACGGAAAGGTATTCATTTTTGCTTTGTTTTGATAACCCATTTGACACGCACCTGTAGGTGACGCGAGATGGTTATAATATCGAATCGATAGTGTCTCTTAGTTGTGTCTGACTCCAGATTTCAAACAGGAACTATAGGCGGCTGGCTATAATACCTGTCATATAATACATGTCATATAGAGAGATAGCAAAAAACTACCGTGTGGATCTAAATATCATTTTCTAGTTGGATGGAGTGCGATCGATTTTAACTTAGATTTTTCGAGCATCCATTCTTTTGGTTACCCGATCGCGTCACACATACATACTCATGTATAAATATAAACATGTAGGTATGTATATATATATATATATATATATATATATATATATATATATATATATATATATATATATATATATATATATATATATATATATATATATATATATATATATATATATATATATACTCACCTTTTCTGTACATGATGGAAAGTCCTTGAGAGTCAGCATACAGCCCACCTTTGCGCTCGCGCATGCTATTTATAGAACAGGCCGAGTTGATCCGAGCAACGAGTTCTTCTGTGGGCGAGACGCCAAGGAAGGACGCGATCTGACGTATCTTCTTCAGTGGGTCCTGTTGGTCAAAGGCTGAATGGTCAAACTATAACAGTGGGTCATGTTGGTCAAAGGCTGAATGGTCAAACTATAACAGTGGGTCCTGTTGGTCAAAGGCTGAATGGTCAAACTATAACAGTGGGTCCTGTTGGTCAAAGACTTAATGGTCAAACTATAACAGTGGGTCCTGTTGGTCTAATGACTGAATGGTCAAACTATAACAGTGGGTCCTGTTAGTCAAAGACTGAATCGTCAAACTATAACAGTGGGTACTGTTGGTCAAAGGCTGAATGGTCAAACTATAACAGTGGGTCCTGTTGGTCAAAGGCTGAATGGTCAAACTATAACAGTGGGTCCTGTTGGTCAAAGGCTGAATGGTCAAACTATAACAGTGGGTCCTGTTGGTCAAAGGCTGAATGGTCAAACTAGTGGGTTCTGTTGGTCAAAGGCTGAATGGTCAAACTAGTGGGTTCTGTTGGTCAAAGGCTGAATGGTCAAACTATAACAGTGGGTCCTGTTGGTCAAAGATTGAATGGTCAAACTATAACAGTGGGTCCTGTTGGTCAAAGGCTGAATGGTCAAACTATAACAGTGGGTCCTGTTGGTCAAAGGCTGAATGGTCAAACTATAACAGTGGGTCCTGTTGGTCAAAGGTTGAATGGTCAAACTATAACAGTGGGTCCTGTTGGTCAAAGGCTGAATGGTCAAACTATAACAGTGGGTCCTGTTGGTCAAAGGCTGAATGGTCAAACTATAACAGTGGCTCCTGTTGGTCAAAGGCCGAATGGTCAAACTATAACAGTGGGTCCTGTTGGCCAAAGACTGAATGGTCAAACTATAACAGTGGCTCCTGTTGGTCTAAGGCTGAATGGTCAAACTATAACAGTGGGTCCTGTTGGTCAAAGACTGAATGGTCAAACTATAACAGTGGGTCCTGTTGGTCAAAGACTGAATGGTCAAACTATAACAGTGGGTCCTGTTGGTCAAAGGCTGAATGGTCAAACTATAACAGTGGGTCCTGTTGGTAAAAGGTTGAATGGTCAAACTATAACAGTGGATCCTGTTGGTCTAAGGCTGAATGGTCAAACTATAACAGTGGGTCCTGTTGGTCAAACACTCAAAGGTGGCTACTGATGATAATGTAACTGTAACAATAACGATAAGTTTTTAAATGTCTACTTTCATTGAGCAATTAAAGAATTATCACTTTTCAGCTCCATCAGGCAAAGCCAATTTGATAACCAGTCCATTAAGTCAACCAGTAGGTCACTATTTCACTCTAGTCACTTTAGGGTACAAACATATTCATTGTGTGTCTCCATCATCCTATTGAAGCGTGTTGGTTTAATACAACATTTGAAAGTAAAAATGTAAAAACCAACACAATGTGAGTCTTAAATATCTTCCTAATAAAAGATGGAAACAACCAGTCAACGATTTACTTGATAGCATGGGGTTCGACTCGATTTGCCGCCTGGGGAAGTCCGCACCCCCGCACCACCCTAGAGACGCCACTGAAACTAAATTACACCACGCATGTACTGTAATGTACAGCTTAACAAAACAAATGAAAAGCTTCTAAAACTACCTCCGACAGATCTTCGTAGTTTACTTCTAGTATATCCAGTTCTGGTCGTTCCTTTAAAACATTTCCCCACGAGCGTATATGGTCGAACCAGGAGCCGTAGTCCACTAGGAATAAGTAAAAAAAATAATATTAGTTCCAATCAGAGGCGTAGCGAGGGCATGGCGGGGGTGACACCAAAGCAAAAAAAAATGCATATATATATATATATATATATATATATATATATATATATATATATATATATATATATATATATATATATATTAAGGCGTACTCACCTTTTCCTTCTAAAAATAAATGGATATAGTCTTCCAACTTCCCGTCGTAGAAGTAGTAGTCCCACAGTTTCCTGTTATGGTGGTACAAGGAGACCGCCGTGTCTTTGGGGTTTCTCGTCAGGTAAATTATTTTCGGCTTCTGGGTCAACACCTCGACCGGAAGTTGATCAAACAGGACATGCGTGTTGAGGACGCGCGGGGAGGGGAGAGCATCCAGCACGGGCTGGGCTGTGTCTTCGATCATGCAGTCGTCCTTCTCCTGGAGTTTGACGTCTGTCGTGTTAGCCAGGAGCATGCGGGTGATCTCCCATACCCAGTGTGTGCCTGCGGGATATAGAGACAAAAGTTTCTTCCAGTCATCTCTTGGGGGGGGGGGGGGGGGGGGGGGGGGGGGGGGAAGTCTACCTCCCCTCCTCCCCCCCCCCCCCCGGAGAAAAAGTCTGGAAGAAACACTGATAGAGAACAAACATTTAATGACTGCTGGCGGTTCTGTATAACTTATGTTGGGTGGTGGGAGGGGGTGTGGGGGTCGGCAATTGTACTATATTCTTATCTACAATCTCCGTGCGTTACTGGTTGTCTGCAATAAAAGACTGACAGTTTAAAAATGAATCACAGTGATACACCCCTACAAAATATTCGTAAATATAATTAAAATTGATGTTTCTCATAATTTTAAACCTCAACTACAAAAGGTATGAATATCAAATTCCCTTCCTCCCTTTCCTCGCACGTAGCACAAGGCCTGGAAAATGTCTGGGAGAATTGGCTTCAACGTCCCCACCCCCGGGATATCCAGACCTCTACTCTATAAAATATACCGCCCGACTCACCAACGTCCCCACCCCCGGCATATCCAGACCTCTACTCTATAAAATATACCGCCCGTCTCACCACCGTCCCCACCCCCGGAATATCCAGACCTCTACTCTATAAAATATACCGCCCGACCCACCAACGTCCCCACCCCCGGCATATCCAGACCTCTACTCTATAGAGTCCTTTCATATGACGTCACGTCCGTTCGTGATACCTACGCCCGCCGCCACAGTGGTGTACATCAGACGTAAACACAATCAGCTGTTCGCCAGCGCTGGACGTGTTCACCAGCGCTGGACGCGTTCACTATATGTAAAGAACCGCACCCGCGGAAAAGGAAAAATATGTTAAAAAACTTGAACTCTTAGGAATTGAAGATCCTTATACTGTTATTGACAGTTTCGTAGATAATATAAATATGTGGACAAATTTTCTAAATAAAAATACTGTTAGTAATACTGTTTGCGTTTAGAGTTAAAGTAGACGAATCTGATCAAATGCAGTTCTCGATACTTTGTTTCAGGTAAGGACAGTAAAATAATAAACTTCATTTTAATTATAAAAGATAACTATTAATAAAACAAATATGCTCGACCTTCACAAATACTTATAGTAAAAGACAAAGTCAAAAGTAATAATAAGAATAATAAGATCTAATAGTAGGCCTAATACCTGGCTCCGCTGGGTAGACATAGAATCTAGAATCTACTTCTTTACTTAAATTTAATTACTTTAGATCTACATTCGATTCAAAATACACCCATAATAAATCAAAAGTAGTCATAATAGGCCTAATAAAGCATTTAATTGTCTCTAAGATCTAAAATCTCGCTCTATTATCTAATCATTTTTTTAGCAAACGAAATTTTCTGAAATTGAAATAGATTGTATGACTAGACTTAGATCTAGAATCTGCTACTTAAATTAAATTGTAAAAACTTTATACAAGCATGTAGTTGATATTATTGTAGTAGAAGGCTTTAATAAATTACTAAGGCCTACCTACTTTGTTGTCTTTTTACAGCAATATGTATCTGATACTGGACTGAGTTTAATTAAATTCAAATTCATATCTAGTAACTGGTCTACTAAGTTTTTGTAGCCTAGTAGTACAATCTAGATCATACCAGCCAACAACAAATAACCACATTATTATTATTTGGTTAATGATTAGGCTAATTTTTTTTTAAATCCACTGTTTATAAAAGAAACAAATCAAGCTAGAAACATTATAAGTGAGATGGTTTAGAACAGGGGTCTCCAAACTACGGCCCGCGGGCCGGATGCGGCCCGCGAGGTCCTCTCATCCGGCCCGCGGAGATCTTTTTGTCAACGGAAAAAACGTTTGTTGGTGATGGCTGAGGAACTTTGCCCAGAGAAATCAAAGACATGCCTGGAAGAAACTGGCCCCCGAACTGAAATTTGATAGTTAATGCGGCCCTCGGACTGAAAAGTTTGGAGACCCCTGGTTTAGAATAATAACAATGGACCCAGTCTACAATTGATACAATTGCAGGTCTACATAGGGCCTACAGTCTAGTAGTTTACAGTAGGCACCTAGTGTGTAGCTAGTATACTAGTGTGTAGCTGTCCAGAGTTAAGATTCTTAATGCCTTAATGCTTTCCCCTGATAAGCCATGTGTGCTATAAATGACATAACCGAGGTGAGAAGTGTTGAGGGGAGAGCAGTGGGACTTTCCCCTTTGTTCTCCCTGCTGGGCCCTGAGGGTCAAAATTATATAAGAAATACTATCTCTGTGGGGCTGGGTATCACGGAGGTGAGACATTTTCAGGGGAGGGCAGGGCAGACTCCTCTTTGGTTTTATTGTGGGCTAGATACAGGTGCAGCCATCATGAGGGTTGAACGTCAGTATTAATGTGTCTGATTACTTTCCTGCTGGATTATAAGGGTCTTAAATTGTATAACATGCTACCCAGATTGGTTATTACCCATGGATTATATTAGCCGTTGTAGTGTGGGTTTTGTAGGAGTTAAGTGGTCTCACGTTTGCTACAGTAGATAACCTATAATATATTACTGCATTTGATCAGCTTCGTCTACTTAAACTCTAAACGCAAACGGTATTACTAACAATATTTTTATTTAGAAATTTTGTCCACATATTTATATTATCCACGAAACTGTCAATAACAGTATAAGGATCTTCAATTCCTAAGAGTTCAAGTTTTTTAACATATTTTTCCTTTTCCGCGGGTGCGGTTCTTTACATACAGTGAACACGTCCAGCGCTGGTGAACACGTCCAGCGCTGGCGAACGGCTGATTGTGTTTACGTCTGATGTACACCACTGTGGCGGCGGGCGTAGGTATCACGTGATTTAGGTCACGTGTTTGCAAGGACTCTATAGAATATACCGCCCCCACTCACCAACGTCCCCACCCCCGGGATACACTACCCGACTCACCAGCCTTGACGTAACCGGCCAGTATGACGTCATCGCTCCGTATCTTCAGCGCGCGCATGTTTTTGATGACGTCATGCGGAAAGGTCGGGAAATACCTGCCATCTACCACCTGTAGCTTGAGCTTGGCCCCGCCCCTGTCCTCAAAATACACCACGTCCATCCCGCCCTCATGGCACCTGGTTTCCATGGTGATGTTACAGGATTTTTTGAAAAAAAAAACTAAAACAACTGAGTTGAGCGTCGTTTAGTGAAATGTGGTCAAAGTCGAGGCAAAGTTCGGGAAATCTATTTTTAGCTCTTGCTGCGGGAAAACCTCATAGATCCACCTATGGACAAAAGTATAACATAAATAATAATTACAAACAATAATAAGACATGGGATTAATGTGTATTGTATACAGTGCGGGTTTAAATAATTACTTCATAACTTATCTTTCTATTCAAACACGCAACAAATATTTTTCGTTATGCCAATGCAATGGCCATAGTTATACTAGTATCGTTCTGATGCTGAAATATATAATAGATCGTTTTATATTTATATGATACTTTACGAGAGTATCGTTTAACTCGGTGATTATGGAGCTGTATCATTCGAGTAGTATCGTTTACCCGATACTTTAATATAGTGGGTTTATTGTGTAAAGCTTAACGTAAACCTAACAAGCGATGCAGTACCATAAAACAATGCCCAGCCGACTTAACTTAACCATGGGCAGATGAAGTAGAGTTCACATGTTACTTGACCTCGACATATGAAAGGATGGTGGGGTCAGCACTATGCCCAGCCACCTTAACTTACTGTAATCTGAGCCAGGTACCCGGCATAGTGTGTTGGATAGCAAAACAAACACATTGGTCAGACCACACAGATCTACTTACACACAGAATAACCTGATGTGTGATTTTAAATACCAAACACAGTCACACATGTGTAGTGTGTAGACCTACGACTAACAAGAATCTACAAAAAAAATATGAGTTTATTAAATAAACAAATCACCACTACCTTTATAGACGTTCATATAATACAAAACAACACCACGGCATTGTTTTCCATTTCAAGAACACACACCCCGCCCACCTACACGCTAATCTTTTCAGCAGTTTACCAGGATCAAAACAACACAGGGAAACCACTCCGCACACCGGGATAGTGGAGGGGAGGGGGGAGGTAATCTATTAACGAGAGGTCTGGCGCGCCGAACGGTTATAAAATGAAAGCCAACCAAACTATTGCCCGCTCTCTTCACGGCTAAACTGTCTGCGGCCCGATGACCCCCGGGATCAATACTGTACGGGAGCGTATTTCCACGCTGACATAATACACGCACATACATTGACGTTCACGCATATCTATTGAAAATACGCACATACATGATATGCATGGCTACACACAATTGTGTACCATTTTATCACGCACACACTTACAGAGGTAAACATCGCGCTTACCGCGTAGCCTACATTATACGTACGCATATTTATTACACATACGCATATTGAACGTACGCATATACACGATACGTACGCACTTGCGTGTCATGTACGCATAATTATTGCACTTACCTCACCTTACTCACGCGAAAAAAAAAACAGCTGAACTAAACAAACGTCTGAGTTCAAATTGATGACGGCGGATTTTACGGCGTTATTGATTTGTTTAAAGGTGAGAGAGACATCGATGAGCAGCTGGGGGCAGTTATAGTTTATCGATTACTTGACTACGTGTACGGAGAATGTGGGGTGACACATCAATACCCGCCTGTGTTGATTTGTCTGGTCCAATATGGGCAACACGATTTATATCGGTATTTGATATTTAGTGGTCACACTCGTAGGGAAGAGGGGGAGGGGTCGGTAATTTTGTGACGATGTGTAATGAGGGGGGGGGGGGGGATTCAGATGGTGCGACGTCACATTTTTTTTCATTATAAAAAAGAGAAATATTAGAAAACGAATTTTACACGTTATAGCGCGTTTTAGAAAACTGTTTTAATAAATTGTAATAGGAATTGATTAAAATACTCTATTTTGACAGATTTCAGACAAGAATTTGGAAAAGTATCGATGTTTTAAAAAAAAATTCAACTGCAATTTTGAGGGGGGTTGAAGGTTATGGTGTGACGTCATTTTAGGGGGATGGGGGTCTGGCCTTTTGTGACGACGTGTGACGGAGGGGAGGGGGGGGAGGTAAAAATCGTCAAAAAAAGCGTGACGTCATTTACGGATGACCCCTTACACAGTGGTGAAATTAAGATATGCAGAGATGGTGGATACTGGCTTAAGTATATATTTCTATAGAAATATTAGATTTGTTTATTTCTCGGGGGAAATAGGGGGGGGGGGGGAGGTTGGACGTGTTTTTTGTGTGGGTATTCTTCCAACCCCACACGGTGAGATGCATGAAAGAAACTCTGGTAAACCGTACAGTAAAATGGATATATATATATATATATATATATAATTATCATATTTAACCTCATCTTCACAGATATAATATTCTGTGGCCTACTACCTACAACACGCTACAACATCAAGGGACACAGAAATGACCTCTGACCTTTTGTGTGTCGCAACCCTCTCTTGTTTACCGTACCGTGTCTCGCGTGTCAAATGTCTCCTCACTTATTTGACTTCTTTCTCCAAAACAATTTCTTCAAACGAGCAGGCTAAATATAAACTCGCAACTATGTATTTAAATTCCCGATAATTAAAAATAGCTCCTTGAAAATTTAAGTCGGCCAACATGAACAGGGATCCCCTTTACGTTAATAGGGACCTAAACTTCGTTTTACTTCTCAGTTAAACGATTAATGTATTTTTTACTCTTCTTTTTCAATAACATATCGGAATTAATTAATTTAAAAATATAATATAGAAAGTGTCAAAAGTAAAATTTAATCGAAATGTAGAATAAAATGGGTGTTTATGAATACGTAATTTGAGAACCGTCGATGAATTGAAAACAGGGCAAGTATGTTTTACTGAACAGGGTGGTGCTGTTGCTGAGTGTGAGATATTTATCTCAGGGTAAATAGGTCACAGTCTCAGGCGTACGTTAAAGAGGTGAAAGGTGGGCCTGGAGGGTATGTGTGTTTGTAGGTTTGTGGGTGTCTGTGTTTGTGTTGAAAAGTGACGGTTGGAAACAATGGACATCAGCTGTAGGGGCTTTTTTTCCCCACATTAACATACACACATACATATTCACACACGCACATTTACTCACTCTCTTTCTCTTTTTCACACACACACACAGACACTATCATTGCTTTTCGTACATGTATATATATATATATATATATATATATATATATATATATATATATATATATATATATATATATATATATATATATATATATATATATATATATATAACCCCTATACACACACACACACACACACACACACATATATATATATATATATATATTTATATATATATATATATATATATATATATATATATATATATATATATATATATATATATATATATATATATATAGGGGTTCATTTTATCCCCATAATACACACACACATCTACACAGTCACACTCACTCTTATACCTACACGTATGACCCGTGCATATTGAACACTCATTTAGTTCTGTGTTTCAACTAATACGCACGCCGTTACCATAACAGAAAGTCAACGTGATGCCCAGTTATGAATTGTGGGTCCCTGGGCGGGGTATTCTAGCCCCCTGAACTCTCCACCTAGCTACGCCGCTGGTTGGTATTGATGTCTTAATGTAGACTTTTAAAAGCGTTATCTTAATGTTTATGGCAGTTTTAATTGATTAGTGTTGCCCACATGCTCATATGACATATTTTTTGTATAGCGATTAGCCATTCTCACATTTTCTTATGACATATGTTTTTTTTAATCGATAAGCCATGCTCACATATTCATATGACATATGTCCGTCTAGTTGTTTACAGTAAGTCTTCTTAACACTACGTTTAGAAGTATGTCTTGAGTTAGGTTTGTATAATAGGTTTACTGTAAACCTCCTTAACACTACATTTAGAAGTATGTCTTGAGTTAAGTTTGTATCTTAGCTTGGATTTATGCTAGTGCTAGGTTAAACTTTAAGCCAAGCTTAAAAGTGACAGAAGTATCACGAATACCAGCTCTATGACGATTATGGTTACGGCTACAACACAACTGCAAAAAGTTTTTAGACCTTGCGCCTAATAATTTCACGATTGAGTGTAGTGTTAAAATAGGGGAAGTAACTCTTGTTTAAATTGAAGACAGTATTAAATTGTGTATTACTTCCCTTTAATATTTATTTCTGTAATTAAAAACAGTAGCGAATTCTCGAATACATTAAAGATTGGGTTAAAACCAAGTTTTTCCGACTCTTGGATGTGTAGAAGTCGAAATTTGCGAAAATCTCGATTTCGATTTTTGGCACGATTATAATACTTCCTCCATATTTCTTATACGAGAAATTAAAAATGTCCAAGTGTTTAATGCATGATTAAGATAAATTTAATTTAAAAAAAAAAACGTTACCAGTACCACTGATGAAAAAAAAAAAGAAAAAAAAAGATAACACTATAATTGTGTAACAAAGATGTTTTATTATTAAAACATGGATGAGTTATCTCTTTTGCCCACTACCATACTCCCACATTTGTTCACTACCAAGTACTGCTACTCTACAGTACCATATAGGTTACATCCCTTGCTACCTAATGTACATTCATTATGAACACAATTTTATGCATAATTTATTATTTAAAAAATGCGAGTAAAGCAAACACTATATACAAATAATCGACAAACAAACAAATTCAATTGTAAGAAAATTTTAAGATTTAGGTTTAGGTTATGAAGGGAAGTGAGGCAGTAGAAAAAATATTTGTGAGAAAAATAAAAACAAGTCTATTACCTCCCTTGCGAACACTTTTTAAGAATGGAATAACAAAGGAAAGACAAATCAATGCAAGTCTAAGGCCAAAATTGTATAAATGATATACAACAACTAGCTTTGTGTCGTGATGTTAAACAGTAGGACTCTATCTCACCTGTTCATGCTTATTGTTTTGTTTTGTCAATAAATATTGAATTAAGTATTCCTATTTCTATTTGCAGAGAAACAAAAAGGTTAATTAATCTTTGGCAGTGTAAGGTTATTCCAATATTTTCTATAGTTTGTTTAGTCGTACCACGCTGTATTACAAGCCTTAGACTTTGGTTTT